CCAGTCACAAGTCCTTTCACAAGGCCAGTCACAAGTCCTTTCACAAGGCCAGTCACAAGTTCAGTCACAAGTCCAGTCACAAGTCCTTTCACAAGTCCAGTCACAAGTCCTTTCACAAGGCCAGTTGTAAGTAACAGGGTGAACAATGACAAAAGAATGCTTCTGTCACAGCTTGTTTGAAATAGCTTGTGAATTGGCTTAAGACTGAATGACTTGCCATGGACTCAAATACAACACTGTTGTGAAAGCAGGGACCAATTTGGACATCAGACCAAGGGCACATTTCTGAACGCTACTTAGAAATTGCTGAAGCACAGCAAATAATGAAGCCAGTGTGTTATTTGAACGGTTTATACATGTATACACGAAATGAGGAGTGCCAAAGGCCATTTGGTTTAAAATAATCAACACATGTCTATGAGTGAGATCGGCCCTATCAGTACAGCAATATGTCGACTAGTGTGCATTGAGTAGGCTTAAGCAGGCATGATGTTGGGTGGGGGGGTCGGTTGAGGATTAAGGATGGGTGTGGCCGAATGGTATGGGCGGGGATGAGGGTAAAGGTGCAGGGGGTTGTACTTGGCACACTTTACTGAGGGTCATTTCATACTTCGAGGCAATGAAAAATATACAGACTACATTTGTGACCCACTCCAATAAAATGAGTCGTCACTCAACCGAGCTACTTATGGGTTTAGGGCCTTTACTACACAGTTTAATTCAATAGAGGGTTTGCGTGGCTGCCAAGTTGCTGGCCAGGAAGTTTCCGTGTGGAACAAAGGACCTGCCCTCCAAGATGGCTACCATGCAAAGCCTCTATAGGTCTCTCTTATATGACATCACTTCCTGCAGATTGACACGTGCACTGGATGTCAAATCTCTGTGATGCATATCGGCAGTGCCGTGTTCTGAAGACACTTGGACAACACGCATAGAGAACACATTGCACATTACGTGCAAATGCACCTGATAATGTTGAATAAGCAGCTGTAATTTTCCTACAAAGATGGTGTCCAGTGAGAGAGATCTCTGGGAAATAGCAGTATTAACATTTTTTACCAATGTCATTTTCATCAGGATGGCAAACTGAGCGATGCGTCAAAACTGACAGCTCAGTTTGCTCTTTCTAATGCAAACTGAAATGGCCTTTGGACTCATTTTGTGGGATCGGGTCACATTTCTGAGGCTTAAAAGTTAACTCCACTGCAACACAAGATCTCTCATGATACATAACCTTGAAAGTGAACGACACAAGAGAAGCATTCAGTTTGGTCTTTAAAGTATGATCAGCCACCTCTTGGGGAGGAAATCTGAACCGTCTACATATACGGCAGTCTTAAAGAAGGTGGCACAATTGGACCAGCAAAGGGGAAGTGTTTAACACAATTGAAAACAGGAAAACCTTCTGCTGTGAAGATTTGTGGGAAGGAAACTGCCGTCAAGCGGGAGGAAAGCGGCCAGATTACGCAACGGTGATTACATGCAGACAAGCAAACTGGTTAATTAAAGACAGAGCCACGCCCCATAGCAACGAGGAAGAGATGCCACCATACCCTCCTACAGTGCAATAGTGGTATTCAGCATGGCAAGGAAAATTGTGACAGTAAAACACATACACTAGTGATACAAATAGTGATACAACCGCTCTGGTTGACCTATTGTCACCCTTGCCGTCCACATCTCTACCCCCAATCTAAAACTACTCAACCCCCTCTACAAACCAGATGTCATTGTGCACTAACCATTAAGGAAAACTAAGTTTAACAGCTTTTATTTTTTACTTTATAGTGTACTTTTTCCTAACCGAAGATTTCAGAAAAGCGGGGGAAAGTAAGAAGAAATTTTCAGATTTGATATTGACCGTCCATGGCACTTGCATTAAGCGCTGTACACTAAGCCATGACAGCTCCAGTGGACAGGACATTACCACTTCACAGAAGCATGCTGGTTTAGTACCTACGAGGCAAAAAAGTATTCATGACTTTTCATTTTCATCGGCATGTGCACAAAACAAAGAGATTCATGTGGGTCTACGGCATACCGTAGCAATAGCATTTGTGTGTCTGTCCGTCACTGTTGACAGGTTTCTTCAATAAGAAATCTGTGTAATCCACAAACCTTTTGCTCATTCCATTACCTGTAAATCTAATTTACCTTTGAGTCAAAAAGCTTGAAGGGGAAAGATAGTGCCATGCAGTGATAATGGTGCAAACATGCAGAGTCGACAGCACACCAACTACTTAAACAGAAGCGAGTTTATAAAGCTCCACACACACACCAACTACACGTCCATAAATACAAAAACTAATCACTCTAGCAATATTTCACACAGTTTGGACTGGATCACATGATCGTTGTATAAATGTTATATTTACCTTCCACTGGGATTTTTTTTTGGCCAAGGAAATGAAAGGAAATGAAATCAAAACAAACATGGTTTACTTTCCACAAGTTCCTCAAACACTGGTGAAGTGTTTAGTTGATCGTTTTAGTTAATTAAAAAGAATTGCCATTTCTTGTGTAAACACAGGATAAAAGTTAAACTGTACCAAAAATAAATCAGTTCCCATCTTAAAAAGTTATTCAACCGAGCGGGCATATAGGTCTGGTTCCTGATGGTGGTCCAGTGGTACAGCACTGATGTCCACAAGCAGATAACTGCCACCAGTAATCATTGTTTCAGTCTCCCTGAATCTTATAACCTTGTGGAACCAGAAGTTTTTTTTATGACCGAGAAGCAAATGAAAAGGGATACCCAAATCGGAACCAATTCAAAGGATTACCCAAACGCTTAAGGATCCTTGATTATTATGTTAACCCTATACCCTCCCAGATTTTTCAAAATCCATCGCAAGGCTTTTGGAGGAATTCACCGGATTGAAGAGGGTAGAGCACAGCCACTGCTAAATTGCATGGGGTCTGATGCTCCTTGAAGTACACTGAAGGTGCCATTGATTTCCTGCACAGTGGTGGATTATTGAGGATTAAGGATGGTCCCTCGTATGAATGCCTACATGATTTTGAGTAAATATTTTGTCTTGTTTTGGCTCACCTGGGTTACCGAAGACCCCTTCCGATTCCTTCATCTCTTCGTTAAGTCTGGCAAGACGGAGACTGCACATCAGTGAGATAATGAACAAAAAATGGACTTGAATAAATATTACAACCGTAGTTTGAGGCGGGAAGGAGTGCACCACGAGGTATGGTGACACTGAGTTCCACGAGGTACAGTGCATGGTGACCCTGAGGAACCTCAAGATACAGTTGAACTCTTTATATGGCCCTTGGGACTTTAGAACAATCTCATTTTAACAATGTCATGAATAGAGAGTTTGCATGGCTGCTATCTTGCATGCCAGTGCTTTTGTTCCACAGGGTAGGCAAATGGAGGTTTCCATGTGGAATAAAAGCACTGCCCTCCAAGATGGCAACTGTGCAAAGCCTCGATAGGAAACGAGCGAAAGGCCTCAGTAGCTAGAATTTTCTGTGCTATAGTAGAATGCTGTTTTAACTCCCTAGGGTGTACGTAAAATCACATCGGAGGATCATATTTCGAGGATTTGGGACTGTTAGGGCTATTGGTGCTGTTATTATATCTAGGTTCAACTGCACGTCAGGTTTCGTTAGTACATGAGGTTCACAAAGTTTACATGCAAGGAGGGAATTCATACTCACAGTGTAACAATGTCTGCATTGGCCGACTCGATGGCTATCATCAGAGGGTCCTGCACACAAAAACCCAACACAACAGAAACTGTTGAAAGGTTCTAGAAAAGCTGATCTAGTTCCTACTGATGTAAGAATGTTCTAGAACTTGAATGACTGTGGTTCTTTTCACACTATGATGTCCAAATAGCACTTTTATTTGCCAACACTTTGAATATGACAAAAGCTATTTAGGGTAGAGGGAATAAATCCTTGGAGTTCCTGGTGAATATTAATCTGGATCAGGAAATCTGATAGTCTGCATTAATAGATTATGGTCATCACAAAAGACTTACCCGTCCATCTTTGTCCTTAGCTGTTTGCACAGCACCTCGCTTCAAACACAGACAAACCATTCTGAAATGCAAAGTGAGCATTACACAATTCAAATCAATCCAGTTAATATTTCATATCAATTCTTTCCAGCAATGGACGGAAATTCAAAAGAAATTGCCTGTTGCTACAAATTGTTGAATTTTGGAGAGAAAGAAAAACCTGGCTGAGGATAAGCAGAGTACCAACTAAAATGTCATGCAGTTTGCACTGCCTACCACTGGTTCCAAGCTGATTTGCACTTTACAACTTCTGGAACTATAAATTTATCCCTAGATGAATAAGGTCATATTTTTCTCTTACCCTGTGTTTCCGAGGGTCGTTGCAATGTGAAGGGGCGTGACCCCGCTGATGTCGCTCACGTTGACCTTGGCGCGATTCAGCAGCAGAAACTCCAAGGCTCCAAGGTTCCCCTGAAAATCCAAACCGAATTCTGTTTCTTCTGGGCTCAGCAATGAAAATTGACTATAGTGCGATTCGAACTGGTGACCTCAGCCAATTCATCTATGAAGAACTAAGGACTTTGTGCATAACAGTACCAACTAATGGTGCTTAATGCAAAACATGTGCCCACATTCAGATGAAAAGTAGTCATCTGCACTGCATAGACTTCATTGTTCTGTATTGGTGGACATCTAGACCACTGTGGAGACGCATCAAAGTACCTATACCTTCGTCCCAATTTTCAGCCCAAAACACTAAACTTTTGTGAATGAACATGAAGTGCCTTCTATCGTTCCCGAGACCAAAATTCAAATTGAGTGGCATCTTACCGAGGACGCGGCCTTGTGCATCGGGGTACGACTGTCCTCCTTGCTGTCCATCTCGTTGACGGCTGCACCATGCGCAATAGCATCCATCATCAACGCAACATTGCCGCTCGATGAACCCTGCAAATGGAACGTGGAAAACCCAAAAGTTGAAATTTACCTCTCTTGTAAAGGTTAATCAATAACCACCTTCTTCAAATGCTTAAATTGATATTGGACAAAAAATGACAAATCTTCACAAAAGTCGACTTTTTAAATACATTTTATGACTACTGGCTGTCTTCACAACTCAAACAAATTATTCTAGACAGTCAACGCTGTTTACATAAACATCAAGGTGGAAGGAATGTGTCGTCTGAATCATTTTACCTGGAAGAGAAGTTCTGTAGCACTGATTTCCAGTTCCTCCACGATCTCTTTCGATTTCAGTGCTTCCTGTTCCTCACCGTCTGAACTGTCGCTGCCTGAAAGACATCGAACAAAAAAAAATTTGGAGTAATTTGTACTTTCTGGAGGAGTGTTCTAAAACAAAAGACTGGATCGCCCTGTAATCTTCCAGACACACTAGAAAGGAGCCAAAAAAACGGGGTAACTGAGTCATCTATATGAAGGGAAGACCACTTGTCTTTGTGTGAACAAAATCAAGACAGAGTCTTGGCTGTCGAAGGTAAAGCCAATGTCTTGCATGTTACTACTCAATGTACAACAGATCTGTACAATTGTTTTCAATGATGAATGGTCATAACAGGTTCCCTCCACACATTCCAATGAAAGGATCAGGAACCAGTGCTCAGCTCCAGTCATGCAAACAGCTCGCACTGCCCAAACAGGTTCATTACATGAAGTCCAGTGAGGAAGACAAAGTATAGGTGGAGGTCAAAGGTTGGGATTCAAAGGTCATACCCTCGTCTGCTTTGCCTGGCTCAACTGGAATTGTATCTCTGCTTCCGCCGATGCCACTGTCATTAAAAGTTTCTTCTGAAAACAAAAGAGGAGAAAAGTTAGTAAATCGTCTTAAATAATCACTCATGTACAATTCAAAAGAATATTTTGACTACATTTCCTTCATAATAAATCAGGTTTTTGGAGGAATTTGAAGGATTGAGGAAGGTACGGCCCAGCCACAGGGGGCATGCCTACTTGAAAGTTTCAACACAAGAACATGTCCTGAATAGTGGAAGGATTTAGAGAGGTTCAGAAACGATTCTTAGCCAAACCGGGAAATCAATGTTAAGGTAATGTCATCAACAATTAAGGTCACTGGTTGAGCACGTGATTGAGGCGATGTAAGGATGGTTGAGACTATGAAGGATGAGTGGTTGAACTAAAAGGCACAACGTTTTCTCAGGTTTTCAAATCAGACATTCTTTAAATAAGGACCCTTGGACATTAATACTTTTGAAAAACTTTGATTGAGTTTAATATCGGAGCTTTGTTTAATTCTGTTTGGATTTAGTCCCTTTAAATTCCTGATTTTTTGAACCCAAACCAATGCCAACGACTCTTCATTTTATTAGTTTAACCACATTGTGAAGAAGAGAGTTCAGTTAAAAATTCACTTGTTATTTATAGAAGTACATCAGTCAACCTTCACTGTATTACTTGATAAGTATGATTATTTGTTAGATCTCTACCAAACATTTTAACTTATTAATTTGTTAGACTGCAGTGTCCGCCATCTTGGCGCCAGTTTTCTGTTCTGCACTGCAATGTGGGATTGATTCTCTAGTGGAAACTTCGTTCCGTCATCCGCCCCATTTTCAACTCAAATGCTACGCTCGCTTTGCATAAGTGTGAATTGTGAACTAGCCTTTAAATGGACTTGTTGTGAATAACCCCGGATGACATGATCAAGGTTCTCTGCACTGCTGTCGAACACAAGCTTAAGTGAGTACACAAACAACGCAAGTTAGGAATTTGTTTATTCTGCCACCAAATAGTGTAACAGTGCATATAGATAGCTGGATGGAACATTAATCCCTCCATTAGCATGTGGTAGGGAACAGTCCACTTTTGCAGTACAACTGTGATGTGCCTTTGGACTAACAGTTCATCACACATGATCAACAACCCACCAATCATGTGACAAAGATTTATGCAAGCATCGTGCTACAGCCACTGATGTCTTTCTTGAAAGCTATGTATGAACATGAACTGCGTGATAAATCTTGAAAACTCTATAAAAGTGTTGCTACAAAGCTGCCGTGATTAGAATCCCCCCAAACCTGGTGCACAGATGATGATGATGACTGTGGTGTAACGCCGAATGAAAGAACAGCCAATCTCCTGACCCCTGACCTGGGGCTATTACCTCTAGTGCCAGCCCTCCCTCGGGGCCCTTCCTTAACACTACACGTTTTTACGGTGCGGTCAGCTTTATTGCGATTGGTGCTTTCTTGTTTCGCTACGCGCCACCTACGTAATCGACTGGTGGTCCGGGGCCGCAGGCTGGTACTCCGGAAGGTGCCGGGAACCTTGGAAAGGAAGCTTTTGTCTATGTACTTGGTCTGGATCCATTTTCGGCGCACAGCTCTGTGGATCAAACATGTCAGAGGTCCACATTTGGTAATGAACATCAGGAAAATAACACCTTACGTGAAAAAGATAATGTGAAAACTACAATAATGTGAAAATACAGAGACAGGAAAAATACGAAGGAGCCAAACAGAGTTAAAAAACATTTTTTTTACAAGTATGGGTCATACATGTAGCTTACGATTTACCAAACTACACAATATGTAACCCCAGTCCACAGAATTAAGCATACAAGTTGCCAGGGTAACCTGTGAGTAACCAGCTTTTTAAAAAAAAAAATCTTTCACCACAGAATATATCTGACCTCTGAGCATTTTCATCTATATAATTTCTATTTTCATCAAGATGTGAAATTGAGTAACATACCAAACAACAAAACTTCAGACTCATTTCTAAAAATTCTGTATTTCTGTTCCGTGGAAAAACCAGACTGGGACACAAGAAACTGCAACTGGGCAGAAATCTGCAACTGGGCATTTGGAATGGCGAATTTTGTTGGGTTGAGTGACTTACGGGCTGCAGTTAGGAGATGCAGGCAAGGCCACTGTCTCGTCGACGCGCGCCTCGTAGATGCTCCGCACGATGTCGTTGCCGAGGTCCAACATTACCTAGGAAACAATGTTTCATTAATGTGGTTTTAGTCCACTTTTTGTCGATGTGCCAAGAAATTCATCAAATAAACAAAGAGGACAAGGAAATTATGACTACTTTCTCTTACCTTAAGTGTCTCAGGTTCCAATGAGTCGAGTGTCAGAGACCGTACCTTGGAAATGTGTACCCCTAAACTCCTGCGCAAAAAAGGAAAAATTATTAAAATAATCATTTTAGAAATCCAATGTTCCCACAATAAACATGTCTTTTAGAATAAGAAAATTGGACACAATCCTCACAACCTCATTTGGCAGTGCGCGATGTGACAGCTGCCCAGACTACACAGCTACAATTTACTCTGCACGGCAGAGGCGCGGTTACCACGTGGGTGTCCCAGGATTCATATTCGTGCTTGGTGTTTGAAAATAATTTCTAACTGTGACGTGACCTACCTGTGTATGCCGGAGCATTCGATGCACAACGTGATACCAAGATTGATGCTACACCAAGTAGGGTCTGTGTAAAATAAGAAATGAAGCATGTCAGTTACAGAGCTAATTCTTGTACTGTTGTTTACTAATACGGGCCTTTCAAAATGGTGCGCCTCAAACAATTTTCAACGCATTGGCCAATCACAATGCGCGAAATTTGTCGACCCAATGCACGTTTGGAAAAGGTCGACAAATTTTGCGCGTTCTAATTGGCTAACGCATTGCAAACTCTTGGATGCGCACTATTGTGAATCGCCTGTATTCATTTTCAAGAAACAAATCATATGGGGAAACTGACTAGGTGCTTATGAATGATTATAAAGATGAACAAAGAAATTGACTGGAGCGGGATTTGAACCTGCGACCTCTGGAATACCGTACCAGTGCTCTACCAACTGAGCCACCCAGTTGGTGTTGGTGGCTCTTCGCATTTGTTCAAATCCCACTCCAGTCAATTTCTTTGTTCATCTTTATAATCACTCATAAGCACCTAGTCAGTTTCCCCATATGATTTGTTTCATGATTTATGTCCAAAAAGCTGTGTCCTCTTTGAGTGATCCCTTTTCAGCACTTCCCAGGCTCTGTAGTGATATTGGGGTGTGATCCCTGGCTACAAAGTGTTTCAGGTTTAATGGCTTCTGGCTAATGCCCCCCGAACAGAGACATTCACAACTGGGAAGAGCCACCAACATAGGGCTGGGTAGCTCAGTTGGTAGAGCACTGGTACTGTATTCCAGAGGTCGCAGGTTCCAATCCCGCTCTAGTCAATTTCTTTGTTCATCTTTATAATAATTCATTTTGAAGTTAAGATTTCTCAAAATTGTAACTTTTAAAAAACTGTGATAAAACAAACATTATTAAAGATATTTTTATGGTATATGTATTGATTTTTTTAGGTTTTAGCATTTTCTGAACAGACTGATTATTGGAAACAAATGCCAAAAAAATACCAAAAAGCTCAAATTTTGCTGTTTTGCCCTTTTCTCAACCTGTTTCCAGTTGTTTTGATTTGACAAAAATATTTTGTCAAATCTGAAAATGAAAAGAGCCCAGTTAGCTTACTCTCGCTTTTGCAGTCGCAACACTTGTCGTTGCCAGGAAGAGCTTGAATCTTGGCCTTGAAGCTGGAAAGAAGAAATATCACATGACCTGTCACATGACCTGTCGCAAGTAACAAGGTGAACACTGATGAAGCAATGCATTTACCAGAGTCCATTGAATGCTTGTCACCGGAATTTAGACTGGAGACCTGTCTTGTGATGGTTACAAGGGATCCGCACTACAATGACTAGTTTATAGTAATTTATCTGTGCAACAGGGCATTTGCTAGCTGATGTTGAAGTTTCATGGATGCTTGGGTAGACTAAGTACTATTTGGGGATTTTTGGGGGAGGGGGTGGTTTAGGGGGATAATGCTCAGTTTCACACGTTCCTACCAAGATCTTGTTACCTGGGGCTTTTTGGTTCATTCGCTGGATGGGAACCGTTCGTCTCTTGTGAAGGGGCATTCTGGTTACCGGCTAATTCCTGTCAGTGGAAGATGATCAAAGAACACCGGACTAACTTCAATCACCAATGTATATTAACGATCAGGATAACTTGTCTTTAAAGATGCAAATATTTGACACCAATTGTATGAAAATTGGTTATACTGTTCTGGTCAAATATCCCTTTCTCCAAGGCAGGTAGCTCAAACGTGTTAACTTTTCCCACTATTTATGCTTGGTGCATGGGGCTGCCAGAGTATGAACTGTATAAATGCTCCTAACAGCAAAACCATTTCTAGGTCTGGTCCCAGACTCCTACAATTCGCTTACTGGCTTAGACTGGTGTTTTGGTGACAGGCAGTAGGCGGAGTTAATGCCTGCTTGTAGGGCCTGGATCCAGGCTTGTCTGATGCTGTCGTTGTCAGCCTGTAGCTGCAGGGTCCTGAAACCAAAGAAGGGTTTTCAGAAACTTGACTGAATCTGAAAAATGCATGAGGACCAGAAAACTGCATCCAGCCACAGGGAAACATCCGGGATTGAAATTTCATGACAGGTAAATCTGTGCAAGTTATGGATCAGCTGAGTTCAAAGTACATGGTTGGAATGGGTTCAAGGGTCAACTCACTTGCCGGGCAGGACAATCTCAAAGCAGAACCTGCGATCGATGTCGTCCAGAGGTTTGACGTTGCAGAGTCTCAAATCCTCCGCTGCAATGCTTATTCCGCCCTGACACAGAAACGGATGGACAAACAAGCAATAACATACACTCAGACCAACAAACAAGCTCGAGCGGCACACCCGCAGATGTACCAGTGTCAAGAATAACTGTCACTGGAGACTACTTCAAGGCTACTGTAGATGGACACCCAAACTCAGATATTCTTCCTTCACAAGCAAACACCACATTTGTGCACATTCTGTTGAAAACAAGACGCATGTACATGTACATCCTTTCATACACGCACACAAAAGCCACACAGCATACACGGCAGTTCCTTCTCTGAAAACCGAATCTGATGAAAAATATTCCACAGAAAATCCAAGCACACAAATCTGAAAAGTTTCCTCACAGAATTAAGTCGGGATTTCTGCTGGGCAGTTCTCAGCAAATGTTTGCCTTTTGAAGAGACATGGGGTTTTATACATCTTATAAAGAAACAAGGTGTTAATTGGCTCAAAGGAAATGGATCCCAACTATTCCAGTTGAGTCTTACTTTCGTTCTCTTCTGATAGACTAGCTGGTCATTCTTGACGGTAAACCAACGTCTGGGAAACACACACAGCAACAAAGAAAAAGTTTACATAAATTTTAATTTCAATGAAAAGAATTGTAAAACCCACTTGCTCAGTGCTTCCAAGATATTGAGAGCAAAAAAATAACACGGTTGGCACTCAAACCTAAAACGTCATGATTATTAAGGCAGATGACTTCAATAAACTACTTATTACAAATTAAGTGTGTTAACTAACACTGCGGAAATTTAAACCATTGGTTTTAACTCTTATGAGTTTAAAGACATAGCTTTAGTGGTCAACTTCTTTCCCTACTAGTCCAAATATAAAACACATAGGCATATTTGGCAAGTATGATTCACTGCTAGTGTGCCTCCCCTTGGCTGAAAATGGAACTGACCTGTGCCATGTCTTGAATGCATTATTGGTCTTCTTGAATAGGTAGCCTTCCATTGTAATCGGTCCAGGGGTGGAGGTGAACGTAACGTTCCAGAGGGACTCCTGCAAAATGAAAATTGTTTGATCCCTGAGGACACACCCACTGTGTTCTGATCAATGACAGCCATGATTTATGTCTGATGGCTGCAAAGAAGTCTAACATCTAGCACGCGTGCACAGGGGACATGAAGTGGTGCAGAACTGTTTGTGTTTATGGGAAGTGCCTAAGTGTGCAGTGGGCGGGGCTTACTGGATCAGTCTGTCGCAAAAACAATGCAAAAACATAAATGTCTGTGCCACCGCAATGTTAAACAAACAAATTTTTATTTCTACTAGCAGTTTCCACGAGCACTAAATTAAACAAAAACCTAATTTCTGCTAGAAATTTTTTCTGGCAAATCAGTGAGGAACAACAGATTTAAAAACATTTTTTCAAAATAATAACACCCCTTTTTAAGAGTGTTTCTTCTCTATTTATTCTTCTTGTAAGTGCAGCCTTTGTTACAAATTTGCCAGAGAAAGCGACTCACCATTTTTTGGACCAAAGTGTGGCGCCCCTCCATGTCCTTCTTGTCTGCCTTGGCCCGGTCATTGAGAATCTGCAGCTGGAGGAGAAATGAGACAAGGAACAAGACAGGGAACTTCAGAACATGAAACACATGACAGAAGAAATTGATGTTCTTCCATAAAACACAAGAAAGTTGAAATTTATTTCCATTCAACCCGTCTTCCTCTGAAATCTAGAGGCACCAAATGTGTTGATCTTCCATGCTAAAAAACACATCAACAGGTATATGTACCGTACATGTACATGTAAGCTTTGCCCTGCCCAAAATTCGAAAGAAAAAATTCAAAATCATGTATAGCTCCTCCTTTTTTTCTGAGGGCCGATACATATAAATTTCATGACTTCCTGTTGCTCATAGATACTGCGACAGGAAAGAAGTTACAGATTAGACTGCAGGCAAGCTGCACATCCCCACGAAAATGTCAACAACGTCGTCAGACCACCTTACCTCAACGTACCACACAGACATGTTGAATCACTGCTAAGCCACACACAACAAAAACCACAAGACTGAGGGAAAACAAACACCGATTTGGGTTGCAAAATGCCATAAACGCTTCCCTGGAGCACTTTATGTGCCAATGTGCTCCTCGAGGGGCCTGCTACAGTCCAGGCATTTCTATCGAATCGGTGGTCGGTTGGATGAAGCAGCACTTGCAGTATAAGAGAGTGCTGACTGTACAGTGCATCAAACGACAACCATTGCTTGAATGCTGCTGTTGTCTGAGACGGTACAGTCTCCCGGTCTCAGGGCCGACAAGCAACAGGATGTGCCGTGATTGAATTACGGACTGACGCAAGGTATCATGCTCGATAGGACCTGACGTGTCAACAATTCTGCGGTGGGGGAGGGGGGGATAGTGTTGTGGGTGGTTGGTTGGTAACCGCCCAAAACAGTATTTCCTTTAAACTAATTGGTTGGTATACGGTTGCCAACATTTACATGTGCTCTTTCCTGAAGCGCATTCATGAGAACTTTAGAAACTTGAAAAGCAATGTCAGCAGGGTAAAATACACTCTCTTAGAATCTTCAACACACAGAAACCATTGTGGGAAAAAAAAGTGATAACCTTCACCTCTGGAAAATTTCCTAACAAAGGAAAACAGCAATTTAAGTGAGAAACGAAGTGAATATCAAGTGAGGTTTAGAAAAGATGCAGATGGCAAATCTTGACATTCTTGGCAACAGAAAGAAATCAGTCTGTGTCTGAAGAAATCATTTTAGCGGCCTAAAAAGCATATCAAAGTAAACACCTTTTGACACTTAACAAACTGGCAAAAAACACACAAGTTTCTCCCCTAAGATCAAACTAATGAATAAGGAATTTGATGACTTCATCATCGCCAATGTCATTAAAAAACATTCAAGTTAATAACTCCAGAAATGAGTCAATTTGGAACCAGGCTTGCCGACAATGAAATGCACAATCTTTTTTTCTCTGAGGGTTAATGCAGAAATGTCTGACAGAATCAACACACACGGCATCTACTGATTCCAAAATGAACAGGGAAATCCATCTGTCTGGTTTTCTTATAAACACAATCCAAGTCAACCTTAGAAGTTGTCCAGAATTGTGCAGAGGGCTTTGACTGATAGAAGCAGATCATCAACGACTGCAAGTTCTAATTTAGGATGAATCAGGGTTTTGTAGGCTGTTAGTTAAATGGAAGGATGCCACCGCCGTCGACCATTGAAAAGAAAACTAATAAACAACACATAGGTTGCAAGGAGTAACGACAGCAGAGAATGACCAAGTGAAACAGAAAGTCAGGAAACAGGTGGGCAGGGGACTTGTCATCAACCTTCTGATGCCTTTATCTTTCCGCCAATAACGGAGCAAATCATAAGCTTTGACTGAATCCAGACAGTGCATTACCATTATTCGAACCGGCTTCATGCCATGGTTGCAGGCCTTGCTAGTAAACTTCTTTGTAAGCACGGTTGTGCTGGGGCTGCGAATTGCAGTGTAAGTTTTCATAGTCATGTTTTGCTAGCCTTGTGTCTTATCGTCAATGTAAACAGGGACCAAATCTTTTAACAGCAAGCTTAAACCCTAACACACTTCACAGTTGAAATTTCACTTAGAAACATTTCTTCTGAATTCCTTCTACTTCTCCCAAATCAATGAGAGTCACTCCAAATCATTTCGGTCCATTTTTCCACCTGATTCTGATATACAGTGTGCCATTTTGTAGCATCAAGAGCTCTTTTAATTTGGGAACTTTAATTGGAACTTACCTGAGTCCCCAGTTCTTTCAGGGATGGTTCCAGTTCCTTCATGAGGTCGAAGCCTTGATGGAAGAAGGTATTCTGGGAGTGCATGAATGAAAGCATCTGATACGAGAACAAAACAAACCTTGGGATAGTCAAATAAGTCAAAATGACACAGAAACTTTTAAAAATAATTTTCCAAATACAAGATTGGACCAGTTCAATCCTTTCACTTAGTAAAAGTTTGCTTTCCTATGCATGAAAGCTGGCACTTTGTTCTAAAAAATGCTGTAATCTTCTCACCAAATAACGTCACAGCGGTCTCACAATGGAAACGGTAGAAACAGTTGTTAACTTGGTCCAACCACTTTCTCAAATAATGCAGACCCACAGAGATTGAAAACTGTCCCTTTTTTTTGGCCAAACAATGTTCACAGGCAAGAAAAGGTTGAACAACTCACCGTGTTTAGTACTTCGTGTCTTTCTTTAGTCTGTACAAGTTTAACCTAAAAGAAACAAATGGCATATTTATGTGAGCACTTACCCGAACAAAAATTTAATTAATCTTTACAAAAAAAAGTCATATATGAATTTTCTCAAGTCTCATTTTCCAATTTGGTATCAGTTTTTATGAAACTGCCATACCTGAAAGACATAATCGAGTGCCGTGTGCCCGAAGGCCGATCGGGTGGCCGTCAGCACATTGTTGACCTCTTCGACTTCGCTGGGCTTGGCTTTGGGCGCCTGGGCGTTCTTGTGCAGGGCGGTGTCCAGATCGTCGCTGATGCGGTCGTACAGCCGCTTCGTCTCTTTCACTTTCTTCAAATCTCTGCCAAGGTTCAAAATCAGAGTCACCAGATAAATTCTGAGCATCCAACAACTTGCGATAAAGGAAACAATCTCATCAATATTATATTAATAAGGAGTGAGGGTGGGAGTTGACAATCAATTTGAAAAAGATTTAGAAAACTTTCCCATACCGTTTCAAAGTGTAAACATCTCACCCTTACCATGGTGTCATTGAAAACTTTAAACACAACAAATTGTATACAGTGTTAATGGTTGACACAAAGTTCTGGTGATGAATTCATGATATTCCTTTGGTATGACCGAGCAGTAAAGTAACCCAAAAATCAGATTATATTTTGCAATTTACAGGCATAGTTTACAATAAAAATGGCACCAGATTGGGTCAATCAAAACGTCAAACCTCTACAAAGGCTGGTTCCGTAAAATGTTTGGGAAAATCTGTAAATGGATTTGGAACCATTTTCATTTAAACGTCACACCCTTACTAAGGAGAAAGAAATAACCAGTATCGATCTTTTTCATCTTTTCATTCCACTGCATTTCATTTCCATGTTTTTGAACAAAAACTGAAGCATATTTTATTAGTTTAAGCAAAAGATAATGACTCACTCTTTCATGAACAATCCCAGAGCCCTGGAGACAGATCTGTGAGCCTGATCATCCAACGTCTGTTGAGGGGAAGGACAAATTGAACAGCCAATTGACAACAAAGGACTAGCTAACAAGGCAAAGTTAGAATGTTGGCATCTAGCACTTAACATTGAGAACCATATGTTGCCTCTTCACGAAACCCCTCCCCCCTCAAAAAGCAGCAAAACAGATGGAAAGACCTCCGGAAAATTTGAAAACAAGCGCTTGCATTAAACCAAGTGATATTACATCCAATCTCTTCAGAAGTTCTATGTATAATAACATTTTGTTTATGATGAGTATTGTGACAAAGTACCTTGCTCAAGGACACACACACCCATCAAACCTTTCTCAATTCTTTCCAAGTTTCCGGTATTCGTTTGTTAATTGCATGGTGAAAGGCAGTAAAAGTAAGTAACTTCACTGATTCTGTACATGAAGAGGACGTTGCATTTCTTCCTTTATAATGCAACGGAATAGTTTCACTCTGCCTAACCACTTTCATAATTTGTCTATGAAATAATCACAGGATGATTTATTAATTAAAGTTTCATTTGAACACAGTGCGCTATTACAACACACACCTGTACATGTTGAAACTTCCTCTTAATATCATGTCGCTATAATGAAAAAGGGAAGTTGTCTGTTTTGAATTTGTAAACTCAAACGGTTTAGTTTTGGTTTTAGTTTGCATGAATTGACTTTCATAAAATAAGCAAATCCGAAAAGGGTGTATTACATAAACGCTCATCCAAGCGTCAATAAACTTACACAACCTGTGACATGTTCTTTTGGTTCAAGTGTGAACTAAAGACATATGACCCTCCAAAAAGAGATTCTAAGTGTAAAAAACAATCAAGTTTCACATGTTGATCAAATTCTCGGGGGAGGGGAGGCGTACAGAACACTCGCGAGGGGGCTGAGGGGAATGCAAGATTGCTTCCACTGAATGCCACACTCCAAACTGGACATCGGTGGTGAGAAAACGTCACTTACCATCCGGAAATTCTGTAGCTCTGAAAGCGCACCAATGAACTTCATCAAGTAAACCTACGATAATAAAGATGAAGATAGAGGAGTAAATGGACTGAATTTGAAGGAAATTTGACACAGATTTAATAGGACTGATATTGTTAAAACTCTTTTCCAACTGTTACAAAATTTAAGGCACCCCTTCTTTTGGACACCGTACTCCCCGCCCCTTTTTTCTACCATCTGTTTAACAGCAACTCTCCTTAGTTCATATTCTGATTAGGAGAATGGATGGTACACGTATGATTGTGAAATATCTGTAAATATAGAATATGTTGTATTGCTCAAAAGTGAGAAAAATACTAGGAAGTTAAGGGGGCTTACCTGGACCAAATTGTCACCTGTGAAATGACCCCCTAGCTCCTTGACCCCTTGAATGAAAGCGCTGGAAATGAAACACACATTGAAACACCCATGACAAGGTCAGACGTTAAGTATTCTTTGGGCTATAAAGGTAACTGTTTTACCCCCATAAAAGAACAGAAACAAATCCCAAAAAAACAAAACAAAAAAGAATTCCTTGCAAATACAAGATATTTACATGTACATGTATGTCATGAGATTGCAGTTTTCATTCTGAAAATGAACACTGTGTCGATATCAACAATCAAGGTTGAAAAACCTGGGACATTTCCCGCCTATGGGTCCCCTACACCTTGGCCACCTTCCCCTACACTCCCCTCCATCAGACTGACACCCCTCACTGGTTTGCAAGCACCCCATTGACCTCAGTTGGATTCGGAGTTAGCATCCTCTCCACACCTCTCTGCCCTCAACACACACCATATCACCTGCTTCATCACTGGACCCCCCTGCAGTCTCCTGACGCCGCACAGAGCATCCTGTCTGAAACGTTGAGTACCACTGGTTCTTTTCAGAACCCCACACAATCAAAAAAGAGATTTATCCACCGTGCTACCACAAACCTATCTAGTTTACTTGCTAACTCCACCATGAAAAGCTTCAAATCTCAAAGATGAAAAAAAGTAAACAAAACTCCGACAATTTTCCCTCCCCAAAAAGCATGCTTATATCTCCAGGATCATCATAAAATGAGTTAATCCAATATCTCACCCGAATGCGACATTGTAGGCTTTACCGGTGTCGACCATGGCGTTACACAGCTTCACCATCTGCAAACAGAAAAAAAGTGAATGAGTGGATGAAGAAATATGACGGCATAAATGCAGAAAAACACCTGTGCTTGTAGGTAACACCAACTTCAAATAGAGCAGTATGCACATGTTACTTAATAAAACCATTAAGCACAGCGGCATGCAGTGCATTTTACAGTAAGCTGATTTGTTAGTAGTGAGAAAGCCAAGATCTGGGAGCAATATTTGGGTGGTAAATTTGTAATCATGTTTGAGAGAGCAACTACGGACATATCTTTGTAGCCCAGAATTGCACTGTACAGGTAGCAATGCACAATTGAACCGCTAACAGAAGAACACATTTTGAGAGTTCAAAAACAACTTTTGGGTGCTATCCTTGTTATGGATGGAACATGCATCTGATCTGAATAGCTAAAAATTACTGGTGATCCCCCAGGAGGTGAAAATCCCCCCTTCTAAAAATGGTGCAGATCCCCCAATAACGGTTGAGGAGCCCTATTTGATATTCAAGACCTCAAAACATTGGAAAAACTCCCAAACACATTTTGGAAATCAACGCTGAGATGTTGGAGAACCCCCAATCTCACCAAAGTGCTAAATTTGGCATCGAAGTTGCTTACAAGTGTTTACCTTTTCAAGTTTGCTTTCCAGTTCTGCTATCCCATGTTCCGATTCCTCAAGCGTCGACCTGTCAAAACAAACACAAACCGAAACCATAAAGGTGTTAACGATTAATCAGCACTGGGTTTATGTCAACGATAACAAGGAGAGAAAAACCTGGAGTACGTAACTGTGATGCAGTTAGCAGAATGGATGTTAAACAAACTATAAAGTTCATGCATGCGGTTGGTACATGCATTCCTCCATGGTACATGTACGTAGAGTGTACACATACGGTACATGTAGATGTACCTACAGTTTGAAAAGGAAAGATTTGGTAACTCTGACATGTGGAAAATTGTCCTTTCATTTAAGGGAATGTGGGCACATAAAGTCATGCTGTTTAGCGTCAACAAGCGTCAACACACACAAGTAGTGTCAACAAAGTGTCAACAACTTGAAAATAGATTTAAGAGTGGTTTTATCATATTTTGGAGTCTCTAACACCTGCCACTGTGTAAAAGCACAGAATTTGCTTCCAGAACCTCGCAGGAAAATGAAACGTTTTAGCGATGAATGGGAGCCGCCATCTTTCTTTCCTCTGCCGTCCACCCAAAAACAAGATGGCGGCCGGTTGGACTGCACAAACAGGCCCAACTTTGTCACTCAAATTTCAACACTCAAATATCATTTTAGATGGATATGATACATTGAATTTGATATGTAGGGCCCTAATTAACATTGTCAATAAAAAATCTTTGCATAAATATACATGGACTTGAATAACTTGTTGACACTTTGTTGACCCTAAACAGCATGACCCGGCACATACATGTACATTCTGTACATACATGGAGGTAGGCCTACATTGTAGGAAGAGATGTTACATGTACAAGTAAATGACATGTTCATGGAAACCTTATTCATAACCCATGCTAGATGTACATGTATACATGAGGCATACATGTACGTACATGTACCAGTGTACATTACACACATGTACACTGTACATATACAGCGTCGTGTTGGAACAATATCTCTTGTCAAGAACTTTGGAACCGAGTGTGAACAAAAATTTGTCCCCGTATCAAGGAATTTTTCCCAATAGACTTCATTCACAAGGAAGCCATTTTTTACCGTGTCCCCAGAATCTATCTTATTGAATGTAATCTGTTAAACGAGATGGTGCCAGACTATTTTGGGTTCCATTCCTCATCATTTTAATCTTTTTGCTTAGGTTTCAAACATTGAGAGTTATCACACCTTTTAAATCATTCATTAACATCGTGTACATGTAAATGGCATGAATTTGAAAGGATCTTTTATTTCATTGCTTTCAATTTAATTCTCGGGTTCTAAAATTAAAATGTTCTCACTTTTAATGCAATATGGCCAATGCATAAATGACACCAATTTCATTATGTTAATAGCACTGCTAAGCAACCCATTTTTCACAGACCATTATGCAGTTTAAACAGGAAAAAGTTGCTTACCTCAGTGACGTACATGTAACAGTACAAATCTCTATGCGCATGCAACTACATGTATTAGTGTAACTATGCCATGAAATAATGCTTAACAGAAACATCATTTTCTATGACAGTAAGCACAACTTTCCTGCTAACCTACATGTGGGGACAGCATGAACAATGTCACTTTTCACCACTCAGTTACATGTACATGCATCATTTTCTATGCTAGTAAGCACAACTTTCCTGCTAACCTACATGTAGGGACAGCATGAACAATGTCACTTTTCACGACTCAGCTACATGTACATGTACATGTAACTGTCAAGCTTAACGTCACCATGAAATAGCATAAACATGGATGTATCCTGAAGGAAATGTGGTTACTGCGGAGAGAAAACTACATGTAGAAGTCCTTCCCCGTGGTGGCAAGGCGGCAATGCCATTTCCTGGGTGATGTTGTCTTTTCTGGGTGGCCTCAAGGGTAGATTTCAGGGAAGCCGAAGTCTGTCACTCGGCAACAGACTTTTCGGAGAAACCATCAGTGTACAATGTACATGTCAATGACCACACGTACATTGTAAACTCTGGCCCAAATGAGTGCTGTACCTGTATACAGCGGGTACATGTGAAATGTTTGAGTACTGGGTCCTACTTACAAAAATGATGCACGCCAAAATGACTCTTTATTGACAACAGTGCACTGTTTATTAAACTTGGACAGGTTTCTTAAATTTGGAATCTTGCTTTTCAAGGTTAATTTACAAAAAAGTATAGATGATTTTTTTAGGTTTTTAAATCTGAAAAGCCCATCTCAAATTTGCCCTTAAATATAATCTTTTAGGTAATATTTCTGCCTGGAACATTGTTCAATGTTATGGAGTGATAACTTCATAAATTTCCTCTAAGTTGAAGCTTTGAAACACACGTAAATTATAAATAACCACCCAAAATTTAGGCTGAGTCTTCAAGGCTTTGATGTACAATGTACACGTACGTATATGAACATCTCTTGAAAATCTGTCTGAATTCAACTGAATTCAAGGTATATGTACGTTTGTCCGTTTAATTTTCAATGAAATCAAACTTTTACAGTGTTAGTGCTAACTACAGTACTCTTGTATAGTACAAGTCCAGAAAGAAGAACTTAAATATCTGCTTCTGCTAGTTTCGACAATTTTTCCTGACTGAATTAGATCTTAACTACAATATATTAAGGACAAAGTCAAAACATCTGTGCATACATGGATATGTACACATGTACATGTAAGGTACTGGTATTCTGTATGTACACTGTGCAATACTCAAGTTTTGACGATGAAAGTTGACCCACTGACCCCAATCACTGGGAATATTTTTTTGGCGGGGACCTTCCTAGAATTCTCCAAATCCCTGATGAATTGGGAATCAAATGACACATTCTGAATGCTTGATTTTATGGAGCATCCAGCCCTGGGCTGCAGAATACAATCCCAGTACATGCAAGCCATATGTGAATGGTATGCATGCCATTGCATGTATCTTCATCAATCTGCTGATGGTGGATTGTGAAGGATGCTGGTGGGTCAGGATAAACATGTTATTATGAGTCATTTTTAAGTCAACCATGAATAAACAAAACAGACAATGCTTCGTGTGGGCAAACAGGAAAATCTGTTGAAATGTACGTACGTACACATCCTGATGTACAAAAATGTGGATATTAGCCCAGGCTGCTACCACTTTGAGGGGAAGGTTGAGACCGAGTTGTGAGACAAACATTTGTCTCTGTAATGTTTGTGGTCTCCTTAACATCAACCTGTCAAGTCGTGTTGTCCTCAAAAACAGAAACTCTAATACCGGTAAAATAAGTCTAATGCAAATCATTTAAAACAATACACATACATGTACATGTACATGTGTCTGCAATTTGCTCAACCCTTCTACAGTATACCCTGTCCTCAATATTCTGAGGTCTGTTGATCTTGTTTCCGGTTAATGGGAAAGAGGCAATCTGATTGACCGATACCAGAGCTAGAAATGTCGTACACTGAGCTAGAAATGTCTACTTTTATAAATGTGACAGGAACACGGATGTCAGGCCGTGTCAGAGACAGATTTCAGGAGCGACATGAAGCTAATTTTACTTTCTGATCTAAATGTACATGGATCTGGTATCTCTCATTTATTCCCTTTGTACAGAGTTTTTCCTTCTTGTGCTGTGCCCTACATATCAACAAAACATCAGTCAGGAAGGAAAGCAGTGGCAGGCTCTGTCCGGACTGAACCAATGTTGGGGCCCTGGTGCTATTTTTGACAAAGTGCTGTGCAAACGGCCCATGCTGTCATGTTTCCCGGTTTGTCTTCAAGTTCGGTGTGCACACTGAAAATCACAGCAGGCACTGTACATGTTTGTGGAACTTGTGTACCAACATGAATACTGTGTTCATTGTGTAATGCACAAACAGCCTGGCCTTGACATTCATGCAATTCTTCATGTACATGTGTACTAAACCAGTTGACATGAATGACATGTCTGCATATACCATCCACAACATGTACACATTTATAGAGTTGAACACTTATACGAGGAGTAGGACGTGTTAAGACAACATCCTGCTTAGAACAAGATAAATTCTACATTGTAGGTCTTAAATGCTGGTATTGTTCGTTTCCATTTGGACAACACAAGATCCCTCTTATATGTAAAAGGTAATTTTATGAAGTCAAAGCGGCCTTGTTATAAAGGATTTACAGTGGTGTACATCTAAGAGAAAAGCAACTCCTGTCATGGAAACAACCACAATCTTTTGCCGGCTGCTAGAACAGGCCTTATGATTGGTCAGGTTCCATGAGGTTTACAATATACGTGTACATGTACAGCCTCTCCAAATAGGGTAATACTCCAGGCTGATTAGTGCAATAAAACCCTTGTACTGGTAAACAGTATGTGCTTGTGATCTATTCTACACGTGTGTACGTGAGCGAGTAAGCCTATGCAGTCAAGTGGGAAATATTTATAATGTTTTCAACAATTCGTGACCTCAGCTTCCAAAGTGGAATTAAAATGTGCACGGGGGCGACAGATGGCCGCCAATTTTTAATCTGTTTTACGACATTATATATCATGAATATTGTAGGCTTTTGACACCATCAACTGTCACTGTAATAGTGCTGGGGTTACCTCTTGACAATTATGATACAAGTAGTTTGTTTTGTATACAATGCAATGTAACTTACTGACGCATCGTGTGTACTACAAAGGCTATACAGTACATGATGCATGTCACTTCATGGTGCAGCAAAACTATCCTACACGTCACTTCGTGGTGAAACCAGTGATGTTATAGATCAAAGTTTCAGGTGGTACTAGTCAGTTACAGCAAGTCCACTGTCCATGCGTGTTGATTGGCTGCTAGGCCTAGTGGAAACCCCAGTGAAAATTAAAGTCCCATTCTCGCCAAAACGGCCTCATGTACTGAACATACATGTATCGGTACTGCTCACAGATAATGAGGACGTTGGGTAAGGCTAGACCCAGACAGACACCTTGGACAATGTGCCCTGTTTGTTATTTTTGACTTTGGTCGGTCATGCCAGTGTCAGAGAAGGGCTGTGCTGAATATTCGATGATTATCGAATATTCAAATATCATTTTTCAACTTAAAGTGTTTAGATGCAAAAATCATGAAAAGGAAGGGAGAATTTTCACAAGAAAATCAGAATATGAAGGCATGTTTCAAGCAGATTTAAATAAAAAGCGACAGAATAATATATCTGACAATGATTCAAAAAGTAAATTACATGTTTTCCTTAAAAAATTTAAAAGAAATTTTCAACGGAGCAAGAAGTACATGTATTGTTCATCTGTTAAATCTTGCTAAATTGTGACTGGAGATGCCCCTAGAGGTGAGAAACTACATGTATTTAGTGATTATAATGTACAATTGTGTGCATTATTGCAACTGATTTTATGGTTTGTTTATCAACAATCTGCTGGTGGGTATGACCGAATATTCAATCGAATTGAAAGTTGAATATTCAAATTTATAGTGAATTATTCAAATTAACTCAGCCCCACAGCAGTCTACAATGTACAAATGTACTAGTAGTTGGTAAATGTAAACGCATGGACACTGATTCCACTTGGCGAGTTGTTTTGCAGGGCCTTACAGTTTCCATTAACCCTAACCCCCAAAGGTTGCTGGCCCTAACCTTCCCCATTCACAATAAGTTAAAGTCCCATGGGACTTAGTGTACAGAGGCGGTTGGACTTTCTTTTTCTGAGGTATGCCAAACCCAATGCAAAAGCCAGCTGTTATGGGCCTACCAGACCTATCCCCACAGAATGAAACACTTTACTACTGTTGAATTCTGTGTGGTTGGGGAAGGTTAGGGTTAAATGTGAACAGAACTGGAATAAATGTATGCTTCTCAAAAAATGACTACCTGACTGAAGTCACAGTGGTTTTTGGAAAGTCTGCATTGTCATGTTGGCACTTTATTAAAAGTTTATCAGAGCTTAATGTGTGGTAACAGTAAGAAACCTCTAGGTAACTCACTAGTCTATTTATTAGTGGGAGACTCAAGGGATTAACCCCAACTCTCCTCAATCCTTCACCTGTTGGAGGACTCTTAGGGTTTAGCTAACAACGTCGACAGATTACATGTATGTCGGTTGATCGAGCATCAGTGCCATTTTTCTGTTATTTTCAGATCATGGGCCTGGCTTTGCTACATTCTCTGCCAGCTTAAGTCTTCATTGAAAAATGAACCGATTCCCCAGATTTATTCTGCGTGTTAGGTCTAGGCCTACCTATCCAACAGGGCCTACCGACATCTCTTCCATCTTGGTTCTCTCAAATGCATCAAGAATTCTCGACCTAAACTTGAAGTTTTTTATCACTGTATTAGTGAGTTCAACACAAGTGCAACTCTAATACCTCGCCACTCACCTAGCCCACCTCATATCCGGATATGCGGATACAAAGCCACGTTTGACTGGTCACTCACTGACTACACTCCCCGGTACCCACAATGGACCAAGATATTTCTCAACCTTTCCCTGATTACATCGATATACATAATGTTTCATTCTCGGCCATTCTCAAGGAAAATTTCTTAAGGGAAGATAGCGCCCTCTGTCTCCCCTTCCATGGGAGCTCAACAACCTCCACTGCGTAGCAAACGAACTTCCTCATTCGATCAACTGTGTAGCCAATGAATTTACGGGGGTACTTTCGCGTGGTGGAGTATTCTACAATTACTCAGTGAGTTCAGTGAACATACATCATGTAAAACAAATTACGAAAAATTTAAGGGAAAGAGTTCCATATGATATACGGACAACATTTGATGGCCCGGCGCACAAACTTATGAGATTTGTATGAAAAAACGTAAGTGTTTTCTTAGCTAATTAGTAAGTAAATGCTTCAGAATTTTCTCAGCTAAATTTCACTTTTTTATTATCACTTTCTGATGGTTGTTATAAAATTTTAAGGGAAAATTAGTTTTGTCTGTATGGAACTCTTTCGAATTTGAATGAGTTTCTGCTTAGCCATGGTTTAAATTACATGTACAATTTTGCCCCCATTTGCCATGCTCACTGTCAAGATAATGACATTGCTCGCCTTGGGCCTCTATACACCAACCACAGCAAAAAGCAATTAAAAAGCGACATGACTAATCATGCGTCAGGATCGTTAGCATGTACATGTAATTCAAGCGCAGACACATTATTTTACAACAGAAGGGACCAGGCGCTTGGTAACGCCCACTAACTCTTGCACTGCAGTGGCAGAAGAACTTAGCAAGGCCACGCCGAACACATCAAACCGTGAAAGACAGACCGACACGCAAAATTCTCACCTGAAATTTGGCGAATCTTTTAGCGCTTCCTCGAAGCTGATCTTGGGCTTCAGGTTCATGGCACTGGCATCAGTCATTTAGTCTCCGGTAAATGATCAACCAAAATAACTTCACTTTGTGTTAGCCTGTATTAAAATGATCAGATGGTAAGGAAGGACGAACTCAGCTCCGGAATCTACCACACTTGCATGACTCGTCCTTCGTGCGCAAAACACCAAATCAGATGATAGTATGGCTGCGGATTCGTAAGACTATGGAAAGGAAGGGAAGAGACGGGAACCATACAGTGGGACTTCACGATTCGAGGGCGCACTTCACACTTAACGCATTCAACTGCTCGCCCCCCCCCCATGGCAGATGCACTTTCCCGCTAGTTGTTATATTTTACTCGTCTTAGAGAATGCAAAAATCCTTCGTAAATCCTCGTAAAAAAATTAACGAAGTGTAACTGAAAATCGCCAGTGTGTCATTTGGGGAAAGAAGGCCTGTGCCAGTTTTCATGGCTTAAAGGGCCAGGGGTAGCTGCAATGGAATTTTTATATTGAGTGATTTTTGTTATTTATTTTAGAGGGTATTTTACTGCTTTTTTGTTTTATATGCTAACAGAATTGCCATATTCGTGAACAAAGCTGTAATATCAATATATGAAGACGACCTCAACACAAGAAAACTCTTACATTTCTGTATTTTTGATGGTCTAAATTTTCTCCTTTTTTTGGTAATTCATTGCTTTGTACTGTACACAGCAACTGGTAAGTGATAACCCTTTCTCCGAAATGTTTTAATTAAGTGAACAAATTCTGTGTTTGAAACTTTGAACCGATGCAATAAATGTCTTGCCATGATGACATCATAGCAGCAGTGCCATCAGTCGACCAGGAAAGTATGGATAATTTTCAGTGTTTAAAGAGTGCACTCTCTCGTCATGTTTTTAAAAGGAAATTTGGGGGGGGGGGCTGGCCGGCCCCCATCGATCCGCCCTTGCATGCATACTTATATGCATGTATCCATTTACTTTTACAAAGTAAAAATTCTTATGAATTTATGTCATCAAATATTATGACCTCTTGCTCGATGAATGTCCATTTTTTATTAACAATGATTCGCTGTAAAACTGTAGGCAAGAACTTCGAAACGGCGCCTCCATTCACTCGATAAGTAAATAAATGTTCCACAAAAATTTTCAGGATCCGTTGGCCCAGTTTTGAAAGGGCGCCCTCTGGGCAATGTGATTGTATTTCATCATCTTATTCGATCCTATCCGAACATGTGTGACATGTGAAGTTAGCAGTGTTTTTGTCTCAAGGTTTTGATTTTTTTTCTGACTTATCGCCGACCTTGTGGCCAGATAAAAAAGACTGAACTATGCCGACAATCGCAGTGCCGAGAGACTTGCTCTTTGAAGCGCTCGGGAGAACTTACAGTGAGTGGTAGATCTTTGGTGCCCAGATTCCGGATAAGCCAAGGTGGCAAGAATCATGACAAACCTACCTGCCTGCATACATACACGTAGACCACATCAATCATGTGCACGTCGGGCGCCGCCTTAATTTTGTTAATCTGTTAATGACTACAACTTTAACTTGGCACGATGACCTGGCCACTACTACCACACTTACCGATTTGAATGCTCTGTGTATGCCCTTGTAAAACAAATTGTTGAGCCTTGAGGACATTTCTGGATTAAGGGCTTTGGTCTAATTCTTTGTCGCCATCAAAAATCAGTTTTTAGCTGAACCTATGTTACTTTTTTTAGTCCTAATTGGTGGATCGCTAAGTTAATTATCAAACTTTCCTATTTTTCCTTTGCAGCTGATGAAGAATTTGAAGAATTATGCTTTGACTATGGCCTTGAGTTGGATGAAATTGTAAGATTCTTTCCATTATCTTGTTTTAGAATTTCATTTTTTCATGTTATTCTTTGTATTTTTCTGTTTCGTTAACTTAACCTTTATTTAATTTAGGCTCTCATGATAGGAATCATATTAACTTAAATAAATTTGTCTTTCCAAAAACCTTTCTTCATAATTTTATATCAAACTTCTTGTACCCGATTTTGGTTGTAAATTTGGGACTTGATAAACTGAGGTAAAACCTCAAAGCATCTAGTAACAAAATTTCTGAAACATTTTTGATTTTCTCCAAATTTGTTACATTGGCGCAACAAGGTTTTGTGCATTGAAGCCAGATGCTAAGTCAGTGCACAGTGATGCACAGAAGTGTCTTAAGATTAAACTTATGAACTGCGAAATTCTTTTTTGTCTGCTTGAAGACGTCAGAGAAGGCAATGATCAGCAAAGAGCAAGGGGCGGAGAAAGCAGAAGGGGCATCAGACGTGGTTATCTACAAAGTGGAAGTACCAGCCAACAGGTCTGTCACTGAGAAATATCTCTGAATCCCTGGGCAGCTTTGATAGGATTTTCAAATATTTGGTCGAGGTGAATCCCTTGAATATTTTACTTTGAATGAAACCACTTCCTTGTTCTTTGTCCTTCCAGGAATTGAGACCCGTATCAATAACAGTTGCTCAGGCTCTACCTTCCTCAATCCTACAAAATCCACCAGAAACCTGATGAGTTTTGAAGGATGTGGGAGGATAAAAGCTAATCTGTATTATCGTCACGTCAGTGCAACAAGATCGTTTCTCATACAAAAAACAAATGTGAGTTACAACCTTGTTGCATGGACACCATGTTATGTGTCTCCAACCCTCAGGTATGACCTACTGTGTCTCGAGGGCCTCGTCCGCGCTCTTCTGGTCTTTCTTCAGAAGATCGACCATCCTCGGTACGTCGCCACGCCCCCGGCTGATGGCAACATGGAACGCCTGGTTATCATGCCTGCCGTAAGTAACAACCACCGAAATCTATTAAAATCTGTTCAGAGGTTTCAGTACTCTACTACTTACCTTACAGTGTCTCACATTTGTATTCAGTGCTTATTAGAAATAATTAAACTTCCAGTGATAAAAGATTTCCAACTGACATTTTTAAAACTTTGTGACTCAGACAGCTCAAGTGCGACCGTTTGCCGTTGGAGCTGTCCTGAGGGACATCACCTTCACCCCAGAGAATTACAAGAGCTTCATTGATCTACAGGACAAGTTGCACCACAACATTGGCCGGTGAGTAGGGCCCATCCTTAGACTTGATACAAGTCTGAAAAACAAGCGGCCAAAGTGTCCCTCTCCCGCAAAGGTAGGAGAAAAGATCGTTCAGGCTTTATCTCATTGATTTTTGTTCCCCTTCAGACGACGCGCCCTGGTTTCCATGGGAACCCATGACTTGGATACCATTCAAGGTCCCTTCCGCTACGATGCTGAGCCCCCAGAGAAAATCAAATTCAGACCGTTGAATCAGGTAGGTAGGATGAAGTCCAACTCCTAAAGTTCCATATTTCATATACCACATTTGGAATACAGTAAAAAGATAATCGATG